CTCTCTGCCCTTCCCCTGCTCATGCTCTGTCTCTCTCTATCTCTGTCTCTCTCCCAAAAATAAATAAACATTAATAAAAAAGTATTTAGAAACTTACACAATGCAGGTGTCTGAATGTACTTCCCAATAGTGGAGCTTAACGAAACAAAAAAATTGAGAGAAATGATGAGAGTGAAAGTTTAGGAACAGCAGAATGTAAGTATTTTGTGGCTGCTGCTGGTGGTGTTTTCTTGCTGTGTGCTGGGAGAGAGGCAGGGGGACTGAAGGTCAGGGAACATCATTAGCCAGAAAATGGGTCTTTGAAACACGTAGCTCCTGATTTAGAAAGAGTTCACAGAAGGGAGGGAAGAGGAACATGGAGCTGGAGAGGGAGGGTGTGGAAAGGTAGACCGCCTGGAGAGAAGAGGTGGGGCCCTCCTGACTCAGCCTGGAAGTCAGGAATTCCAGTTTCCAGGACCTCACACTCGGCAGCTGGGGTAGGCCTCCCTGAAGCTCCGGGCCCTGTGTCTCCTGGGCCATCTCTTGGCAATCCTCCTCTTAAACGCCAAAGGAGGGGAAAATGCCGAAATGGATTAGAAGTTTCCCCTCCAGGCTATTTTCTCACCCTCTGAAGAACTTGTAACTGGAGTGGAATAATAACAACACTTTAGCATTTTATACGGTTTTACAACTTGAAAAGGCAAAAATGTTAACACTTGAAAATATATGGATCTCTCATTTTAATTAATGAGCTGAATCTAATCTGTGATTGCAAATGAGGCTCAGAGAAACTTAATCTGAGCACATTACTGCACAAATGCAATTAGTAGTCTAGTACGTGTGAGACTTTTTCCCATATAATATCTTCAACCAAAATGGGGCAAGTGTTCAAAGTGTGCATATTTGCTACCAAAGCTTTTCTACAAATGTTTTATTTTTGGGTAATTGGACATAGCATTCTCTCCCTTTCAAGAAATGATCCCACTACAAGATTCTCATTTGGAACAATTGTAGTCGTGTAACTTGAATTAGATGGCCATGACTGTAAGTAGAGGTCTCTTCAACTGTTGTGACAGGAAATGATAAGGACATTATACGACCAGGCTGGCCAACCTAAAGAACTAGAAAAGGCAACCCCACCTCAGGGCTGACACAACTCTATGCTCACATACTTGCTTAACAAGGGAGACGCAGGCTGGATTTCAGACTCCACTCACTTCTGCACCAAGCACTTTGTTCAGGGCATAATCCTGTTGACTCCGATAAGACAACCTTGATTGGTAACTTCCAAATCTTGTCTTGTAAAATAAATCTGCTTAAATTATTGAGTTCTTACATTTAGCAAATTGTCCATTTAGTTGCACATCAAGTTCCTTCCACTCTCTAAGAAATATTTAGGCTGAAAGTTATAAAACCATAACCTCCAGACGGGGTCTTTTTTGTTTACTTTTGTGTTTCCGTGTAGCAGAGGGTCATATAGTGAATGCATGATAAATATTTATTGAATGAATGAATAAATAAATGGTGTGAATGGATTTATTAAACAAGTGAATTTATTAAACAAGTGAATGGATTGATGCTAAACAAAGAAACAAGGCATGAATTTAAATGTTAACATTTCTTAGGAGTTTGGTTAAGTCTCTGAGACCTGTGTGCCCACCATTAAAGGGGAAATCATTCTAATCAGATCATAGGATTTCTGTGAAGATTTAAATGAGACTATGATAAGAAAGCATATTCTCAACAGGAAAGACATTCAAATATGTTGTGATTATAATGATTATTATTTAAAATGTCATTTTTTTAAAAAGTAGGCTTCCTGTCCAGCACAGAGCCTAAAGCAGGTCTTGAACTCAAGATCCTGAGATTAAGACCTGAGCTGAGATCAAGAAGTCGTGTGCTTAACTGACTGAGCCACCCAGGTGCCCCAAGTTGTTTTTCAAATCTATTTACAACTTAGCAGAATTTTCTAGACTGCATGCATCTCAATTCATTATGTAATTTACATAAACCACAGTAATACCATTTTTGTTTTTATTGCTGCTTCAAAATAACATTAATGTCAAGAAATTCTTTTTCAAAACATGTCTGACAGAGTTAGCTTACTATTTCAGACAATCTTAAGGGCTAGCTATTAGCCCATTTTATGGAAAAATGAAGGTAAGTGAGAGTTCCAGATCAGTCGTTTAATCCCAGAAACATTTGTTCCTCACAAAAGGGCCAGATAATTCCAATATGCAGGCCAATCCTGACTATTTCACAGACCTTATCACATTTCATAAATAAGCCTGGAGTTATTTGCATGTTAAAAGATGTCTGAGGGGGCAAGACTGCCATGTTGCCAGCTCCAGGGGACAGCATTCAGTGTGTAGGCAATATCAATGCGCCCCTTGGACCTGTGCTGTGCAAGAGCTCTGAGAAGAACAAGACAGGAAGTAACCAAAGATGATGAAAACCTAAATAGAGGAAGCAGAAAAGAAAGGGTGGTGATAGATATGTACTAACTAGTGAGTGGGTGAGGATAATAAGGGAGGGCAAATGGTCTTGACCAACTGCCCAGTTTGTGGCCCGAGTTGGTGTGCTGAGGGGAGGGATGGGGTGTAGGAGTCAACTTATATTACTGTTTGTTTCCTAAACATCTGTCTTCAACTTCTTTCCAAAGGGAAAATCAACAAGATTTTAGATTAACAATGACAACAACAACAAAACATAGAGCTCACATGAACTTGGTGTCATTTTAACATTGGGGTTTGAACAACCTACCTATGAGCACCTAAGTCATTTTTCCCCAATACAGTAGGTGTAACTGATTAGCACTGAAAATATATGAAAACTTTAATTACTCTATGAATTGATCTGATCAGAATCTCCACCATCAACACCATTGTACACATACTCAAAACACTGTTTCAGGCAAGTCTGAGAAATAAATAGAAAATAAATAGGAAAAAAACACATCAACTTCACGACATTATGTAAACAAGTCTCCAAACTCTAAAGTTTGAAAGCCCACTCATTGGGCTGAGTGTCTTTTCCCTTGGTACACCCAAAATAATTTGTCTTCTGTTCTACCTGTGTACAGGTTATTTACCCTTCAAGAGTATAAGCTTATTAGGAATGCAAGCCGGTGCAGCCACTCTGAAAAACAGTATGGAGGTTCTTCAAAAAACTAAAAATAGAACTACCTACGATCCAGCAACTGCACTACTAGGTATTTATCCAAGGAACACAAGGATGCTGTTTTGAAGGGACACATGCACCCCCATGTTTATAGCAGCACTGTCCACAATAGCCAAAGTATGGAAAGAGCCCAAATGTCCATAGACAGATGAATGGATAAAGAAGATGTGGTATGTATACACACACACACACACACACACACACTGGAGTATTACTCGGCAATCAAAAAGAATGAAATATTGCCATTTCATGGATGGAACTGGAGGGTATTATGCTAAGTGAAATTAGTCAGAGAAAGACAAATATCATATGACTTCACTCATATGAGGACTTTAAGAGACAAAACAGATGAACATAAGGGAAGGGAAACAAAAATAATATATAAACAGGGAGGCGGACAAAACAGAAGAGACTCAAATATGGAGAACAAACTGAGGGTTACTGGAGGGGTTGTGGGAGGGGGTAGGGCTAAATGGATAAGGGGCATTAAGGAATCTACTCCCGAAATCATTGTTGCACTATATGCTAACTAATTTGGATGTAAAGTTAAAAAAATAAAATTAAAAAAAATAGTATGAGCTTATTGAGCAAGAACTATGTATTATTTATTTTTCCAACCCATTTCACACTGTCTTCCACTACGTAGGTCACCTCCTTCCGGGGGGTGATTCAGTATACATGAATGAAATTTTCTGTTCACCCACTGGAAAGCTTTAAAAATTTTTAATTTTTTTGGTGTCAGCTTTATTAATATAATTCGCATGCCACATACCACTCATTGTTAAGTATTCAATTCATGTTTTTTAGTATATTCAAAGAGTTGTGCAACCATCATCACAGTTGATTTTAAAACATTTCATCACACCCAAAAGAACCCCTAATTCTTTAGCTATCACTCCCCAGTCCCCCCTTTCCCTCCCAGCAGTGGACAAACAGAAATCTATTTAAAAATAGTGAAACTGGGGCGCCTGGGTGGCGCAGTCAGTTAAGCGTCAGACTTCAGCCAGGTTACGATCTCGCGGTCCCTGAGTTCGAGCCCTGCGTCAGGCTCTGGGCTGATGGCTCAGAGCCTGGAGCCTGCTTCCGATTCTGTGTCTCCCTCTCTCTCTGCCCCTCCCCCGTTCATGCTCTGTCTCTCTCTGTCCCCAAAATAAATAAACGTTGAAAAAAAAATTAAAAAAAAATAGTGAAACTCTCAGTGTTGTTATCACAATAGATGTATGTATTCTGGACACATCATATAAATGGAATCACATAATATGTGCAAACATTTATATTTTAAATAAAACCAAACGTACAGGTGTAAACATGTAAATCTTTTGTCACTTTCATCATTTCCCTTTGACATGCCATCTCAATTCTCCAAAAAATGTTTTCCACCTGTTATTCTTTCAAAAACATATTTTTAAAACGAATAAGATTTAGTCTTCTTTTCAGGAATATTTAAGTATTTAGTTATACCACTGATCTAATTGAAACTTAAAAAATGCAACCTTTCCTGTGTTAGTACTATTTCAACTTATGGCCATATAAATATACAAATGAATACTTAGGCTCTTCAGATTGAGCATTCCCTTTAATTCCTTCACTGTTGCGTCAATGTCCGTTAGCTCATTGTGGTGTAGCAGGAGGATATGCAATGAAGGTAGAGAGTGCAGGCCTGAAAAACATTATTTTGTACAAAATTTTAAATGCTTTTAATGCTAATTAAACATGCTAATTAAACAAAAGCAAAGAATACATTTCAGCTGGTAAAAGGAGTCACTACTAATGATGTGAATTGTCATTGAGAATACAACAAAACATAAGAATTTGAATGATTGAGTGTGATGTGGGAATGTAGAGTCAATTTCTTCCCACTGTTATTGTTTTACCTTTTTTCCTGTAGCTATCATTTTTCTGTTTGATTTCAGAGAGGTTATTTTCTTTACTCTTCTTCTTATTGTTTTGTTTTGTCACTGTTACTTAGGTTTATAAGGCCAAACAAGGGAATAATTACTCATTTGAATTGGTACTTTCCCCGAAATTGCGCAGCTAAATATTTTCTTCACACAATAGGAAGAATATTCACATTACTTTTGTTGATTCTAAATTTCACATTTCCCCGCATTTTTAGCATAAATGAAAGTGGGTTGTGTCTTTACTATAGCCACATCATAGTTGAATTGGAAGATTTTCTTTCTTCACAGTACATGAAATCATGGTGGATCTTTTTTTTTTTTTTTAATGTTTATTTATTTATTCTGAGAGTGTCTGTGTGCAAGCAGGGGAGGGGCAGAGAGGGAGATCCCAAGCAGGCTCTGCACTGTCAGTGCAGAGACAGAAGCAGGGCTCCATCGTGCAAACTGTGAGATCATGACCTGAGCAGAAATCAAGAGTCGGATGCCTAATGGACTGAGCCACCCAGGTGCCCCGAACTCACGGTGGATCTTAAAATTTATGGTATTTTGATCCTATGATACATGATATTAAAAAAATGTTTTGTGCTGTACCTTTTGTATTTCATGATCATAGTACATCATGTACTTTTATATCTGACTTGAAACTGTCAGCTTAGATACGTAAAAAATTAATTCAGAGTGAAAGAGGAATTTGTCTGGCAAAAATTATAGCCACTAAAAACATTAAGAGTATTTATAAAATCTTCATAAAGTTTATAAAGTTTGAGTGGCAAAATTTCTATTTAAAAAAAATTTTTTAACGTTTATTTATTTTTGAGACAGGGAGAGACAGGGCATGAACAGGGGAGGGTCAGAGAGAGGGAGACACAGAATCTGAGGCAGGCTCCAGGCTCTGAGCTGTCAGCACAGAGCCCGACGCGGGGCTAGAACTCACGGACTGCGAGATCATGACCTGAGCCGAAGTCGGCCGCCCAACCGAGCCACCCAGGCGCCCCCAAAATTTCTATTTAAAACATTCTTTTACATTTTGAATAAGGTATATGACAATATTTCACTAAAACTGTAGTCTAAAGCACATTTCTTTCTTTTTTTTTTTTT